TCTAATTGAGTTTGCATGGGTCTTGTGAATGTCATCATCATTACTTTAAGTTCATATGAGCCTGGTAGACTCTGTTTCCTTATGCTCATGCACCAATCCTGACTCTTAAAATTCTCTCCTTCATCCACAGTGGTCCCTGAGCCCTGGATGTGTGAGATTTAATATGAGTCCTAACCAGAGATGCTCTTCAGTCTCTTATTTTCTACACTTTGGCCTGTTGTGGCCTTCTGTGTTCATTCCCCGCTGTTGCTTGAAGAAGTTTCTCTGGTGAGAGTTGAAAGATGCATTAGTATTATCTGTATTCCTGACTCCACTATATTTTGTGAGCCTTAGATGAAGAGTTTCCATTGTAGAGGTGTCATTTAAGGCTGGGCATCTCACAGACACTAATTCTTTCTGTGTGATCAGCTATAGAATTAAGGTAAGAATAAGCAAAACCCAAACCCAGCAAGCAAGAAGAAAGAACAAAAATCAGAGCACAAATTAATGAAATAGAGAAAAAAGAAAACAGTACCAAAAAATCAATTATTCCAAGACCTGGTTCTTTGAAAAGATAAACAAAATAGTCAGACTCATAGCCCAATTAACAAAAAGAAAGACATTGCAAATCCAAATAAACAAAATCAGAGATGAAGGAAGAAATATTACTACAGACAACAAAAAGATCCAGATTATCTTTAAAGGAATACTTTAAAAAACTATATTCCACTAAATTTGAAAACCTAAAAGAAATGGACAAATTTCTAAATTCAGGGAAACCACCAAAGCTAAACCAAGAAGAGATCAACAGTTTAAACAGATTGATAACAAATAAGAAACTGAAGCAGTAATACAAAACCTGACCAACTAAAGAAGGCCAGGCTCAGATGGATTCATAACAAAATGTTCAGACTTTTAAAGAAGATCTACAACCAATGCTTAAAACATTCAAAATGATAAAAACAGAGAGAGAACTCCCAAGCTCCTTCTAGGAAGCCAGTAGTATTCTAATACCAAAGCCAGGTAAAAACACAACAACAAAAAGAAATCTACAGACCCATATCCTTAATGAACATAGATGCAAAATCCTCAACAAAAATACTTGTAAAGTTCAGACAGAGACACATCAAAAAGATTGTCCACCATGATCAAGTTGGCTTTATTCCATAGATACAAGGAGGTTAAATATATATGTCAATATATGTCATAATTCATATAAATTTATTTAAAGACAAAAAATACGCAGTCATCTCAATAGATGCAGAAAAGGCCTTTTGACAAAATCCAACATGGCTTAATGATAAAAGTCCTAGAGGGAAATGGATTCAAGGGAATATACCTCAACATATTTAAAGCTATATACAACAAACTCATGACCAACATCATTCTAAATGGAAAAAAACTGAAAGCATTCCCATTAAAATCAGGAACCAGATAAGACTGTCCACTATCTCCACCCCTTTTTAATATAGTGTTTGAAAATCTTGCTAGACAAATAAGACAAGTGAAAGGAACTAAAGGAGTACTAATTTGAAAAGAAGAGATAAAATTATCACTATTTTCAGATGACATGAAATTATACATAAGACGACCCCAAAATCCCATCAGAAAACTCCTAGAAATGATTGACACTATTTGCAAAATAGCAAATACAAAGTCAACCTACAAAATCCAGTAACATATATATATATATATGTGTGTGTGTGTGTGTGTGTGTGTGTGTATGTGTGTGTGTGTGTGTGTGTGTGTGTGTGTGTCAATAACAAGCAATCAGAGAAAGAGTTCTTGGAAATCCTCCCATTCACAATAGCCTCAAAAATAGGAATAAACCTGGCTGAAGACAATTTTAAATCTTTGAAGAAAGAGACTGAGGAAGACACCAGGAGATGCAAAGACCTCCCATACTCATGGATTGGAAGAATTAATTTTGAAAAAATGATCATCCTACCAAAAGCCATCTTTAGAGTCAATGCAATGCCAATCAAAATTGCCATGGCATTCTTCACAGAATTTGAAAAAAATACTAAAATTCATATGTAATCACGAAAGACCCCAGAGAGTTAAACAATCCAAAGCATAAAGAGCAATGCTGGGGGGATTGCCATACCAGATCTCAAACTGTATTACCAAGCTATAGTTTTAAAAACCACATGGTGCTGGCAAAAAAAACAGACCCATAGATCAAGGGAACATAATCGAAGATCCAAAAAAAAGTGCATGCAATTTCAGCCACCTGATATTTGACAAAGGGAAAATAACACACACTGGAAGAAAGATAGCATCTTTAAAAAGTGAAATGCTTCCTCCAGGATAGCCATACCTTCTAAAACCTCAAGCAGGAGAGAGTGCCTCCTCAGGAGCCTATGGGGGCCAGGGGGGGTGGAATGTGATGGTTTGAATGAAAATGTCCCCATAGGCTCCAAATATTTGGACATTTTGTCCCCAGATGGTGGAGCTGTTTTGGGAGGATTTAGAAGGTGTGACTATCCTGGAGGAAGCATGTCACTGGGGGTGGGCTTAGAGAGTTCTTAAGCCTTGCTAGATCTCCAGTTGCTCTCTTGCTTCCTGTGCCTGTGTGATGATGTGAGAGCTTAGCTTCTGCTGCCCCTGCTCCAGCTACCTCCAGCCACCATGCCTCCCTGCCATGACGGATAGTAATTCCCCTGGAACTGAAAGCTCAAATAAACTCTTCCTTCTATAAATTGCTTGGGTCGGTGTATCTGTCACAGCAACAGAAAAATGACTAATACAGTAACAAATATTTTAAAAAGATGAGCTATGGAGCTGAACAGAGAATTTTCAAAAGAAAAAATAAAAATGGCTAAGACACACCTTAAAAACACCACTATTCCTACCTTGCCCTTTGTCTCCTGAGCTGCCTGCCACAGACCTGCCTGCTACCCTGGTAAGTCAAACCCCACCCACTGTATATTAATTCCCCTGCACCCTTAGCAGCTGCACTTTCTAACAGCACTCTGTCCCATTTCTACCCTTGGGCCTAAGCCAGCTCCTGCTGTTCTGCCTCAGATCTCTGGACAACCTTCCTACCCAGACCCCACCCATTTTATCCTGATCCCCTGTACCCAGACTGGCTACATCCTCCAGATGGAGACTGCTACAAAGTTCTACAATTGGTCATACACAGAGAATATATCACTGAAAGATGTCTAGTCCTATGTGAAATATCTACAGTGGAAACTCTACACCTAAGGTCATGGAACATAGCAGAACAGGGGGTACAGAGAATACTAATACATCCCTACTCTCACCATCAAAGCTTCCTCATACAACAAAGAACAATGCACACAGAAGGTCACAACATGCCAAGTTTTAGAGAATAAGAGACTTCAGAGTGCATGGCCCCATCCATGACTCAGGGGACCATTGTGGAAGAGGGGTGGAAAGATTGTTAGGGTCATGGTTGGTGCATGAACATAAGGGACAGGACTCTTGGAACTTGCTCATATGAACTTGCAACAATGGTGACAGCATGCACAAGACCCATGCTCAATCCATCAGACAAAATCCCAGCAGAGCACTGGGGAAATGGGCAGCAGGCCCCAATCTTAGCCAAAGAACTATTGGCAGCTGATTACTGCTTGGTGAGAGAGAGTTGATCTTCTTTAAGGGAGAGACTCTAGATAGGCTGACTAGACCCCAATGGACAAACTTGCACTGTCAGACATCTGGTACACTAGCTTTACTTGATAGGCCTTAACATATGAAAATTTGGTGGGAGGCTATAGGGACATTCAGATTGAGGAGGATATATAAAGATGATTAAGATTTTTAGTATGAAACACATAAAAATTCATTATAAAATATGCATTTAGATTTCCCAAGACAATGTGGCACATCTAGGATATAACCTCTATACCTAAGGCTCAATGAACGTAGAACAAGGGATGAAGAGAACACTAATTCATCTTTCAATTCTCATCAGTTAAGCTCCCTCATGCAACAAAAGGCCAGGAATGCAAAAGGTCACAAATGTCCAAAACACAGAAAATAAGAGTCGGCAGAGTATGGGTCCTTGAACAGGATTCCTATATTAAAAGCCACCTACCCAGGGCTCAGGGACCATTGAGGAAGAGGGGGTGGAAAGATTGTAAGAGCTAGGGAGGAGGCGCATGACCGTATGGAAATAGTCCTACCAGCACCTTGGACCCTTCTCATACAAACCCACAGCAATGCTTTCAGCATGCACAAGACCCATGCAAACTTAAGCAGAGGAAAACCCAGCACAGAACTGTGGTGATGGACAGCAGGCCCTGAACTTAGTTGAAGAATTATTAGCAGCTGATTAATGCTGGGTGAGGAAGAGCTGATCTTCTTAAAAGAAGGGACTCTAGATAGTCTGGCTAGATCCCAGTAGATGAACTTGCTTTAATGGACGTCTGGGGACACAAACTTTACATGATAGGCCTTAACACAAATGATAGAATGTATGAACTCCAGTTGGGGCTATGAGAGGGTGCTAAAGGGGAACTAGGTATAAAGATTATTTTCTATATGAAACACACAAAAATTCAATTAATTTTTTTGAAGAATGTATAGGAAAAAAGACATGTAATCAAAAAAGCCTCATAGCAATTTTTATTGTCTAACTGATGTTCTTGTTGTTCAACATATTCAATAATGTCCCTATACTATTAATCAGAATTAACAACTCAAAATATATGTATTTCAGATGGGAAATAACTAGCTTCTTAGATATATTATTTTCAACTTTAGTTATAAACATATTCTAACCCATTTAATGTTAAGGCAAAGATTTTTATTGCACAGATTTGTTTGAAAGTTTTCATGTAAGGAATCTGCATAACAGTATTTAATAAGGTCGTAAGACTCACATCATCATTATGGCTTGTTCACCAATAGATTTACTTTTTCAATACACTCATCTAATAAGTATGTTTGTATGCCCATTGATGCAGAAGGCTCTAGACTACAAAAAAAAACAGTGTTTGAAATTATGTAAGAATTTGTCTCTCTCTTCCACCACGTGGATTTTGTCCTCCTTAGCACTCAGTGGTTTCCAAGAGGTCTTGCTTTTGTTTTTCACTGATACTTTTGTTCATCAACCTATCCCTGGAATCAAAGAAATGAAAGACAAACATGTGAGTGACTGTACAAGTATGGGAGACACTTAAAGAAGTTGATTTGTATTGCACAGCAGCTTATACATCTATATCTTAAATGTGCATCAAGACTTCTCAACATAGTCTTAAGGAAGTAATCATAAATTGGCATTACAATTTTATAGATGATCATTTGAAACTCTAAGATCTGTTGAAGCTTACCCAATTTGTGGTTACTAAAAGCAGATTTTTTTTATTCCCAAGAGAGGCAATTTTTACACATTTTCCAGAAATAACTTGAAGCAGGTTACACACACACACACGCACGCACGCACGCACACACGCACGCGCGCGCACACACACACACGTATATCATGAAGTTTAAGGGAGAAAATAGAAATAAATTCTTAAATTTAAAAACTCAAGAGCTTTTTACCCTAATTCTGTAATCATTTTCTTACCATGGCACATCAGAAAATATTAACTCCCCTGAATAAAACCTGCTTTATGAAAGAAGGTATATGGAACATGATGCATTGATTTCATCTTTACCTGAAAAGCACAATCTGAAAACGAAATGGATGCACCCTTATCTGGCTGTCAGCAGATCCCTGTGAGCTTTCTCCTGGGACATCAGACGCCATTAGTGACAACTAAGGGCATTGGAGCTACCAGCCTATCTATTAAAGCAGGCTGATAAACCAGGAATCCTCATAGGGTTTTTTTCTCAAATATTTTATTTATTTTTATTTTATGTGTATTAGTGTTTTGCCAACATGTATGTAAGTGTATCACTATGGGTGCTGGAAACTAAACCTGGACCCTCTGCAAGAGCAATCAGTGCTCATAACTGCTGCGCCAATTCTCCAGACCCATTCTCACAGTTTTAAGAAGATACAACAAAGCTAATCTTATATCAAATTACAGGAATCTCCTACAGTCAGTCACTTGACTTAAAGAGTGGGCAATAACCAGGAAAGAAATGTGTTCATCTCATATCACTATTATAGATAGAACAATAATGAAATAAACTTATTGAAAATAAATTCGTCATTTGGAATGCCACCACTTCCATTCTGGAAAATTATTTGAAGATTTTACCAGTTAGCTTTAGCTTTAACTGATTACAGCCAAGACTCACCTGAGAATGAATTCTCAATTTACGGATTTCCCAGGTCAGATTGGTCTACAGATGATTTTTGATTGTTAATTAATGTAAGAGGACTCAAACTACTGTGGATAGCAACACTTTCTGTGCAGGTGGTCCTGGGCTGTTTAATAATCCTAGCTAAGGCTAGTTGTGGTGGCCCATGCTCTCCCAGCACTCAGGAGGCAGAGGCATGCAGATTTCTGTGACATCAAGCCCAGCCTGGTCTACATAGTGAATTCCAGGCCAGCTCAGGCTACAGGGAGACCCTATCACAAAAGGAGCCCCTGCCAAAAAAAAAAAAAAAAAATCCTAGCTATGCATGAGCCTGAGCACGACTTGAAGCAGTTTTCCTTATGGCTGCTTCCGATCCCTGCTTGAGTTCCCACCCTGGGTCCCTCTTTGATGGACTGAGATCTGGAAGTGTGAACCAAATAAACCCCTTCTTTCCCTGGGTTGCTTTGGGTCAGTATTTAATGACAGCAACAAAAAGAAACTGGAACATAACTTTATTCATATAATTCTTATATTTGGTGCAGAAACAGTTTCTAATGCCCATATGCGGTGTATCAAAGTTTTATACTGAAAACTTGAGGATTTTCATTAGAAGACTGAATAAGTACACAAAGTATGTGTTTTTGAGAGTTTGAAGTTATTTATTCTTTAAGAAGTACTGAAATTTTTTCTGATGATGCCAATTTCAAACTCTCTACTCAAAATTTTTGTTTCACTAAAGCATACATATGTACAGAGTCAGTCTAAGGTTCTCGCTAACCCACCCACAAGCTTAATCCACCAGGTTTAAGATATTAACCTGGGGGCTGGAGAGTTGGCTCCATGGTTAAGAGCACTGACTGCTCTTGCACAGGACCCATGTTCGACTCCCAGAACCCATATGGCAGCTAACTAGCTAACTACTGTTGGTAACTCCAGTTCCAGGAGATCTGATGCCCTCTTTTGACCTCTGCAGGCACTGCATGATACAGGTGCACTTAACATGCATGCAGGCAATACACACATACACACAAAATTAAAATAATAAATCTTTTTAAAAAGATACCTATCTGGACTGAGTGCGATGGCACACTCCTAAAATCCCATCATGCAGGAGGCCATGATGGGAGAATGCCAAATTCTATACTAGCCTGAGCAATATAGGGAAACGCTGTCTCAGAAAACAAAAGATGTTTAAAAGATGCTCCTTTCGAGTTCATTCATTCCTGCTAATACAATTTCTCTTGCACGTTCTTCAGGCTCCTAAATCCCTTCTTCAGCCCTTGATTATTTTGTTGTTGTTAAGTCTTCATGTTTCATTTTGGTTTTTTCTTTTTGGTTTTGCTTTTGTTTTATTAGAGAATGTTTCTTCCCATTTTCATTCTTGTGTTCTTAAAAAGACACCAATTCCAACCTAATTTAATTCAGACCTAAGGACTTTTTAATGTGAGAAACTGATGATAATTAAGCTCTTTCACACGCGGGCCCTTTGTCTATATGATAATCGTAACAGTGCTACAGACCTTAGCCAGTATAAAACTGATTACATGGAAAGAAAAGAAAAGAAAAGAAAAGAAAAGAAAAACAAAACAAGCGAAACTAGCCAAAGATACTGCAGCTTTTTATGGTAGTGAAATGGCAAACCATAAGAGGCATGTTTATTAGTGTTTCTGCACCATGCACTGGGTCAATAAACACATTGATGTTTTAGGGAAAACCAGATTCCTTCATCGAAACACTCTAGAAAATATTACTTGCATCATCTCTAATTCTAATACCCCCACAATAAAAACATTTACTAAAGCTTTAAGGATCTAGAAATTATAAAAAATAATTTAGACATGGATAAAAATAAAATGGATAGCCAGGCATGGTGGCGCCTGTAGTCCCAGCACTTGGGAGGCAGAGGCAAGACAATCTCTCTGTGAGTTCAAGGCCAGCCTAGTCTACATAGTGAGTTCCAGAACAGCTGGGGCTAAAGGGAGACCATGTCTCAAAAAGACCAAAAATAAATAAATAAAATGAATATTAATTTATCAGTTACTGATATGAGAGATATTTGTGAAAACTTAAATTTGTTTATACAGTTACAGTCATAATACTACTTAACACATGACAATCAAACTCCTAGGAGCCACTTGGAAGAAAACTCAGTGCCAGATAGAAGAGACCTCCCATAGAGTAACAAACATGCCATACAGAAACTTCTTTTTGCAACAGATGGAGGCTACCACAGTATTGCACATCTGGTCAGCCATAGAGAACATACACCTGGGAAATGCCCAGTACTAGGTAACACATCTGCAGTCAAATTCCTAAAACCAAGGCTCATGGAACATAGCAGAATAAGGGGTAGAGAGAGGGCTAATGACCCCTCAACTCTCAACAGTGAGGCTTCCATGTACATCAGAGTGTGTTGTACACAGAAGGCCTCAACTGGCCAAGTTTTGGATAATAAAAGACTGTAGAGTGTAGGATGGGACTCCTATATGGAACCTCACCCACCCACAGCTCAGGGACCATTGTGGAAGAGGAGGCAGAAAGACTGTAAGAGCCAGGGCTTGTTCATGAACATGTGAGATGGAGGCTTTCAGGCTAATGCAGACTTGGGCATGTGCACCTGTGGCAGTGGTGGCATCCATCGTGGGACTCATGTCAGCTCAATTAAACAAGGGCCCAAAGGGGAGGCAAGCAATAGGTGGCAGGTCGGCACTAGATTGAGAACTATTTGAGACTGGTTGCTGCTGGGTGAGGGCAAGTACGACTTATATACAAAGACTGGATGGGCTGACTAGATTCCAGTAGATGCATTTACGCTGAAGGACATTTGGATACAAACACCTGAATGAATAGGACTCAGCATGTATGGCAGAGGGCATAGGGTTTGATGGGTGAAGGAGAAGCATGGATTGGGGAGGGGGTCTGGATGTGAACGGGAAATATTGTATGAAATTTTAAAAACATTAAAAATTTTTTAAATTAAAAAGAAAGTAAGATTTGCTTACAAATTATTTGGGCTCCATTTCCAGTTATTTTATGCACTTTCTCTCCAATTTCAGATATAGGTATTTACATATATGTCCCTTATTTTATATAATACATATAAATTTATAACTACATAAATATGAAAAAGACTACCACCATTATTTCCCCATTTTCTCAAATGAAATATAGAAGTAATACATTATAAGTCACAGACTACATAAAGAGGACATGCAAGAACTTTAAAAATTGTAAAATTACATCAAGATACTAAGGAGTATTTTATTTACATATATACATAAATTTATATATTCATAACATTGTTGTACAGGAAAAATCGCAGGTAGTATTTTACAATATGTCTTCATGTATTAAAAAGCATAAACTTACCAAATTATAATAAACAATTTTCTTCAGTGTAAGCCTAAGTCAATTCAAAATTACAAACCCTACCTTCTGTGTGGAAAAGCCTACATAGAAGCTCACCTTTTCTCCATGTCCTTGATGGTGTCACTAAGTGGAAGATTAAAGGTCTCTGGCATAAAGTAGATATTTATTGTGGCTACTATGGGTAACACCCCATAGAGAATCATAGGAAGATGCACAAAATATCTTCTAGATATAGTGTTAATGCAGAAAATATTGTTGCACTTCTGGACACAGCAATAACAATAGCTTGTAGTGTTGACCTTTCAAAACAAATGAGACATTTGGAAATGAATCTGTGAATTTAGTCTTCTCAACAGCATCAATTTTCAGTACAGATATCTGAGACCACCTATGGCAGATAAGTTTTTCCTACAGCAAATGCCCTTAATTCTGTGTACATTCCCTAACTCCTAGATAAAGATACCATATAAAGCAGTATTTCCATATGGACATAGCTGTTTGCTTTTCCTAAACACACCATTACATATTGTAGTTCTTTGTGGTGCACAGAATACACACTCTATTGTTACTTTTAGATGCTTCTGACCTATAAAACAGAGAAAATAGATATTAAATCAGTGTTTGCATAGCACAGTATTAGAGCTATTTGATAAAACAAAATGAATTAAATTTGAATTTAAGATGAACAAAAGTAGTGTTTTATATACACGGGTGCCAAGCAATATTCATTTACTTACTTGTTCATTTACACTAAAAGAAGTCTATCTAAAGCTAAAATTTAATGAGTTGTTCTTACTTCTTTTTCTTTTAAAGGTATTTTTCATTTTAAGGTAATTCTTAAAATGAGACATGGATTTTAATGGAAAATATCAACATAAATATTAAAAGCATGAGAAGTAATATTTGACTGATGGCACTTTTTATACAAATTCAGGAATTTGAAAGATTAAAAGTTGCAGAAAATTAAGTATAAAAAGTGAAAGAAGGCCAGGAATGGTGGCACACACCTTTAATCCCAGCACTTGGGAGGCAGAGGCACTTGGGTCTTTGTGAATTCGAGGCCAGCCTGGTCTACATAGTGAGTTCCAGCATAGCTGGGGCTACAGGGAGACTCTGCCTCAAAAAGACAAAACAAAAAAAGTGAAAGAAGTGTTTCAATAATTTTGATCTAATTATTAGCTCAAGTTAATATCTCCTTTCTTCAGACAATTATGAGTTCACCATTTCATGGAGCGTTTTTTCATTTGATTTCCACAATGATTCTCTTGAGGTGGGCATATTTTATTTTTCTTAAATTATAAATATAAAAATTGAGTATTAAAGAGATTAAAGAAGGCAGGCAAGATTACAGAATCACTCAGGATCACACACATGATAAGATAGATCTGAAAATTTGTCATTGGGGAGAGGATGGCTTCAGGGAATAAGGTTTCAATTAAACAAAATAAATATTTTTCAGATCTAGTATACATCACAGAGCCTACAGCTAAGGACTATTTAGTCTGTAATAAAATTTTCTAGGAGACTTGACTGTAAGTTAATTTTATGTTATATTATTTCCCATAAAAATTTAAAAAATTATAATACAAGAAGAGGAAGGAACTCGTGACTGTAATAGATACATTCATGGATACACACATTCATGGTCTTTATGGTTGGGATAGCTTTAAGAATGCAGACTTATCCAAGAAGTTCAAAAATTGTAAACCTTAAATATGTAGTTTTCTATGTGTTTTCATACCTCAATAAAATGTCTTTTTAAATTTTAGGCTTTTTTTTAGATAAATCCAGTGTTATCTGTCATCATATTATGACTGCTTTCTGGGTACCCTATATCTCAGTAGGAATTTCAGTAAATTCTCTGCAATCAAGAAAAGAGCACAATTTGTCCCCTGCTCTGTGGGGATGAAATACCTGAAAGATTATGAAGATACATTTATTCAGAAGATTTCATTTTATCAGATAGTTAAAATAATGGAATAGTAATTGATAATAGTGAGTCATCATATTATGACTGCTTTCTGGGTACCCTATATCTCAGTAGGAATTTCAGTAAATTCTCTGCAATCAAGAAAAGAGCACAATTTGTCCCCTGCTCTGTGGGGATGAAATACCTGAAAGATTATGAAGATACATTTATTCAGAAGATTTCATTTTATCAGATAGTTAAAATAATGGAATAGTAATTGATAATAGTGAGTTTTACCTTCAGAAATGATGCAATATTTTCTGAGACTAATAGGGACTGAAAGAGTGCAGCATTAGTAGGAAAATTAAAAGAAAGGACTGTAACAAGTAGATTTAAATGAACAAATTATGCATAACTAAAGGCTACATAACAAGCAACAATGCCAGATAGGAGATACCTTCTTTTGAGTTGTTGGCCAGGGTAGCCAAAGGGACTCCCAGATAATAACCCAGCATAGAACTGGGAAAATGAACAGCAGACCCCAGTCTTAACTAAAGGAATATTGACAACTGATTGCTGCTAGATGAGGAATAGCTGACTTTCCTAAAACAGAGACCTCTAGGAGGGTGCCATCTGGGAAGTGGGTGTATAGTTGAATAAGATGGTTTTGGATGTTCTGTGTGATACACACACACACAAATCAACAAATTCTAAAAAAATGTATTATATTTGAGGAGGAAGCATGGAAATTTATGTCATGTT